AACGGGCCGGCTTTACGGTGGTCATTTCTTTTAAATTCTTTTAAATTCTTTTAAATTCTTTTTTATAGCCGTGCGGCTATACTCTTAACATACACTCTGTTAATTTTTTTTTTATAATTGTTTTTGCCCCATTTTTGTTTATCAACAAGAGTAGTTTAGAGCATTATCCATTACTAGTAGGCAATTACACGACTCTTTATTGTCCCATTTTCAGTTTTTGGTTTTCCAAAGTTATTATACGTATATAGAATTTAGTATTTTCACGTTTAATACTCGCATTATACATGTACATAAGTATTTTTCATGTTTAATACACTTGTTTTTTTACAAAATTTTCAATAATACTCACAAAATTCACATATTATACACAAAATACTCATATATTATTGAATAAAAATAAAATATATTAAAATAGTTTATTACTAATTATTCATTAAGTAAATAATACTTAAAACATAACCACAAATTAAAGTAATTAAAAAAAAGAAATTCAGATTATGCTATTCAATGGGTATAGCCGGTTGGCTATACATTTTAATAAAAATCTATTTATGCAGTATCGCCGCACGGCTATACTCTGTTAACAAAAACAGGCACTAGGCGCTAGGCGGGTCCCTTTTTATTTATTTATAAATAGTATCGTCGGGCGGCTATACGTTAAAAAAAATCTATTTATACAGTAAAGCCGCTCGGCTATACGCCTTTCTCAAAAGCATTTTTTTAATAAGTCGTATAGCCGTTCGGCTAGATGTCGGATTTTTTAAATAAAAATGAGTATAGCCGTTTGGCTTTACTGGGGTCCTTTTTTTAAAAAAATTCTTTTTTATAAATAGTATAGCCGGGCGGCTATACTCTGGATTTTTTTAATTAAAAAAGAGAATAGATGGCATGCTTTACTGGGGTCATTTTTTTTAGTTCTTTTTTATGAGGAGTATAGCCGGCACAAAAACATGCGCGTCACGCTAGGCGGGTCCTCTTCTTTTCTTTTATAAATAGTATAGCCGTGCGGCTATACGCTGGGTTTTTTTA